GTTTATTCCAGGCAACACTCAAAGAAAAAAGGGTTGATTTACGAAAGAAGGTGCCCGCTTTAGGAAGAATTATGGATGAAGGGTGACGACTGCTTTGGGAAGAGGGTAGCTGGAAGTGAGACAACAAGGAGGGGTATTGGGAGAATACATGGTGGAAATAGACAAGGCCAAGAATCTGCCGTCGCCATGCTAAAGATTCCCAAGATGACAGAACATTGAGGTCTTCTTTGGAAGTCGTCCAGTCAGGCCGACGCTTGAGGAAAGGATTCAAAATATGCAGCCATAGACAATTACCCAATGCACACCTGAGTGTGCACATCTTATTTGTGACATCCCCATTTTTACAAGAGCAGGATTTAGAAGTTCGTCCCTGGTTCAGAACACAAGCTTCTGAGGAGCGTTTTCCTTACACCATCAGTACATTACAGTGGTTGACACGAATCTCATTTTATGGAACCAGCTCCCCGCTGCGGTCAGGCAAGAAAGAAAACGCAATCGCTTTTTAAGTCAATGGCTCTTGCCTTTTTGCTTACCAGATAAATAAGCCTTTTACAAATACTGTATGCACTGCTCTTTACGTTATTTTCTCCCTATGCAAGTCGCAACTCCTGTTTTGAGTTGTTTTTCTTCTCTCTTTTTCTTTCCCTACTAGTTGCTGTTACACTCACTGATCCGCTAGGCTTATGCACAGATATACAGCATTCCCTCACTAGTGGGACCATTGTTATTAGGCTAGGGCCTGTTTTGGACTTCCCACTCTAAATAAAGAATACAAACAACAAACAAACAAACAAACAAGAGATACGACTCGTACCTAGTGGTCTCAGGCATACTTTCCCTATGCTGGTGGAAGCATTCGACAGTATTCAATGCAATCTGGTTGACTTCAAGAATACAGTAGCAGAATTGAGCGAAATGATTAAAAGTTGCATGTTTGGACTATCCAGATTCAAAGACACGGCATCATATCAGTAACTTTTCACAACACACTCATTCGACGTGTCAAGCGGAGGCTCATTTGGCTACCCAACAGCCACCATTTGTCACTACCACAAAATATTCCAGTCGCCATCCGTTTAACCTTACAATATTTCGCCTTGTGTTTGCTTTGTTTACAACATTAAACAAGGCACAAACAATGTGTGCATGTCGTCACAGCCCCCTCTTTGCAGAGTTTGCAGAGTTTTGCAGAGTTTTCCCCTGGTCCTGGCTTTCACGGAAGCCTGGACCAGGGGATAGTACACCCTCGCGTTAGCCCTACCTAATGCGTCTTCACGACAGTCTAGGGGTGTGCGGATAATGCTCGAAAAGGTGGCAGATTCTGCTGGAAAAGCAGTGAAATTGACAGAACCATACAAACCTAATGGCGGGCAATTCATCGAATTCTGTTCCATTTCTTTATCCACATACCAAAAATGCATGAAATTTACCAGGAAAAAAATAAAAAATTCTGCCAATTTTTCTGCCGGCATTATCCGCATATGCTTCTTCACGACACGGCTTCTCTTTTCGCAATACAGACATGTATATGTACCTGGTCTCAGATACATGTAGGTGATTTTTCTTCCGTCGGGATCCTGCTAGGCAGCCTCCTTCATCATGCCGCAGAAGGCTACGTAGAAGGCTGTTATGTTATAACAACCCTCTACGCAACCTCTTTTGCAATACAGAATGCCGTAGTATGCAGCCTCCGTTTCTTCATTCAACTTGTTCACCCACTTACCTGAGAATTACCAGGCAGGCACAGTGGGTTGGTCAAAGACCATGATTGAGATAAGAGAGGTACCTGGTTCAAGTCCTGCCTGGGAGCGGTTTTTCCAGCCCTGCTGCTACCCACAATCAACTGGGAACTTGTGCCCAGGAACAAGGGGTACATGGATGAAGCTAATGGGGTCGTTCTCGGCACTTGTGCCAGTGATTTTGAGACTTATCCACTCACCCCCACCGTTAGGCGCTGCATCTGCCGCTAGGGTTTATGGGGTGTTAGCGGCCGTCGTGAGTTTGTTTATTTGTTTGTTTAGCTTTATTTTACTTCACCAGAAGCACAGGCAAAATCTGCCTTCGCACTGGGCGTATTGTCGCAAAATGATGAAGGTGGTCATATAAGAAAAGCAGGAAGAGGAAAATACAATCGTGAACAAGGCACAAAGAGAAGACGGAAACAAATCAATGAGGGAGTACTACAAGTAACGAATTGGAATTTGATGAATTTTTTATGAAAATAATGCAACGGATGCAAAGGTTCCAGGGTTGAGGGAATGTTGACAGTTATGCGTCTTTGAGATCTTAGGAGAGGGTAAGAGAGTTTAATATATCCTTTGTAATTGCTTTCTTAAATGCAGAAGGAATTTTGATGGAGCGGACATCAGGCGGCAGGCAGTTCCAGTACACACTGCCACTAAACTGAACAGTGGATCGACCGGAAGGACCCGGCAAAAACGGGACACGAAGCAAGCGTGAAGCCTGACCACGCGTGGCACGACCATTGACTAAATCAAAGAAAGTGTTGAAAAGACCCACTGATCATTTCAGCACCAAGACATCTGTGCACAAAAAATAATAATTTTTGCAGATATATCTGAGTAAGAGTAGGAAGATCAAGTCGACAGAGAAGAGGGGGTGATGGGATGGTAGAAGGCACCTGGAAAACGGCGCGAATTCCGGATTGGAAAATCTTGACCAAGCGATCCAACAACTGCACTGTGAGGCAAGGATAGAAGGCCGTGGACGCATAGCAGAGATGGCTGCTGATCATGCTAATGAACCACGACCGTCTGGCTGATAAACTTAGAGCACGACCATGGTGCCAGAGCTGACCAATGGTCTGGGCAGTTCGCTTAGTCACGTTGTCCACATGCTGCTTCCATGACAGTTCGCAATCAATGACCACCCCAAGGTACTTGGCAGTAGGGGTAACCTTGAGTGCGTCCTGACCACAGAATACATCAGGAATGGCAGCTCTCTGTCCACGTGGCTGGATGACCATGACTTGCGTCTTCTTCGCATTGAGCAACAGCCCAATTTCAGCAAGCCAACGTGATACAGAAGTGGAAGCTGCACTAAGCTGTCGGCACACATTGTTGAGATCGCTGTCGGAGAACTCTAATATGATGTCATCCGCAAACTCTTGGTGGATGACTTGTTCAGGCAGGATGGCATCTAAGTGGCGCGTTCCCTTCGGGAACGGACACGATAATTACTCTTTTTTTTACCTGAGAATTGCCAGTTGGCATCTGACAGAGATGTCTGGCAGTCACACTGTGCATCTACTGCTTACACAGCTGCATAATGCCGTTTATTATTTTATTTGAAACTCGGGTATTGAGCCCATAATAGAAGTAGAAAGGAAAAGGACATATGCTAGGTGCTAGGTGTCAGGACGTCGAATGTCTCAGTACTCTGTCAGTTTTGTGCCTAGTTGTTGCACTTTCTGACTGTATATAGTATCTAGTTACAGTGGTGGACAGTTACTCTTAACTCGTTTCCATATGTCCTTTTTCTTTCTACTTATATTATTTTATTATACTATTATTATTTGTTCGGCAACGGAGATGTTGATAATGATGATCATGATGACCTCGAGTACCCTGTAAAAAGGCGTGTTGTCTGCGGCGATTGCCCTAGTAAAATAGTGAATTAAACAAAAATAGAACAGAAATGGGTTTGCTCCCACACTGGAGCTCGCGCTATTCCGCCGACGACTTGACACTTAACTGGCTCACCACTAAAAATAGAGCAACTATTAATTTTGTGCTGTCCCTGACTAACAGCGGAATCACAGTCATACCGGTAAGAAACTGGTTGCTTGGAGCAATGACGGAACAACTGCTGATGTGATCTCCCTCGGGCGTGTGACCTCGAAGAAGTCAGGGTCTTACATCTCAGCCTATGTCATAATGTCGCTGCCAATCTGCTGTCGGGTATGGCGCTCTATTGCTATTGCCTCTGTCAGGAGCGCCTTCTCGGTCATGTGAGATAGGGAAGGTGGGACTTCCCAGTACAAAGGCAAATCAATGAATTTTTGTTGCCAGTGTCAGTATGCCAAGGTGGCTGAGAAGGGTTTTCGAACTACATTCCTTGGCCCTTGGGCCCCATTGCTGTTGTTGCTAGGTTGCAGATGTCACGTATTGTCCTTTCATCTCACAATAGTTGAGGGTCAGCAACTATGCGGTGGAAGAAGCATGCCAGCTTCATGCCATTCGAACTGATATCAAATTGTCTTTCTTCTGGACCATACTCGAAAAATCGATGCACTTCCCATTTAATCTATTATCTCCCGTCCGTGCCTGTTTTTTCTCCCCTCCCCATTCTCTTTCTGCCCTCTCCTCTTCTATGTCGTCTCTTTGTGCGAAGGCACCATTGCCTGTTTGGTTGAACGACGATGAATAAAAGCACCACAACAACAAGTACACATTCTTTAAGCCGTTTTGGGGAAAGAACGTTTCTAATTGTCCGCAAACTCCAACACAGCTACTTACATATTTAGGAAACTCCACGTCTCAACTCCAAAAACGGTCTCTTCACTGCTTTGGAGGCGAGAGGAGAAGTTTCCTAGATCGGAGGAAGAATTTTCAACAAAGCTATGAATAGACCAAATTAATGTTGCTGACATAATACCATGATGAGCAAATGCTGCACTGACGAGTCCACAAAGGACGAAACAGTTCTGTCCGCAGATTGAGTGAACAAATTAAATACATGTAGAATATGGGGAAAAAAAGTCCTAAACGATTTTTCCTCGGCACGTTGAACCATCCCTCTTTTTCTCGATGGTGATGAGTGAATTTACATCGAATCGGGATAGAGAGAACAAACCAATAATTACACAGGTATGTGCTACCATGCCTTAATTGAATACAAACTTTATAAGAGGGACCCAACCGTCAGCTATTAATTAACAGGAGCAACGTATGCAAGAACGTGTATTATCAAGAAGGAAAATAAGGGCAGCATTAATTTATTAGTCTGCACAAAGCGAATCAATAACGTAACACTGACGGTAAATTTGGATGGGCATAAACTAGTTTTCAAAAGAGTGAACTTGAACATTCAGTTGAGAGCAAAAATTGGACGATTTGTGATAATTCAAAAATACAACCATGTTATACTGTTAGTTTACACTGCCATACATATCATTTCCAGAAATGTCACGTGATCTGAACTATTTCAGGCAGCTTCTATGTATTCCGAAGCTTGTTTCCTCCGGCAGGCTCAGAATATATATCCTTGTGCGGTTGCCTCGGTGTTGACTTGGGCTCACCTGGTAGCTGTGGTGGCGTCTTCGTTTTACGTGTCGCTGGCGGTGGTTGAGAGTTTGCTCCGGTGAATGTCGACTCCTTCATTGGAAACTGTTGGCCTATCTCATTTGGCATTCTGCTTCCTTGATTGCACGCATCCCGTGGACTTGAATTGATGTTTGGCTGTGATGTAGATGTCTTCACTTTGGATAAAGCCTCTCCTGGTGCAAGATAATCACCAATACCTGGTCTTGTATCAGTACAGTATGCCCTAACAGTACTGCTATTGCCATACATATCGGTATCCATGCTGATACGGCGAGATGCACAACTTGATGCTGTCGACACGGTGCCAGCCTGATGCACGTCAGCGTTGTTCCGCCGAGAGGCAATACCTGCATCCTGACCTACACATCCCGCCTTTGGATCTTCATAGGAGGCGAAACCGCTCTCTTGTGCACCCTCATTTCCAAATCCCGGCTTGGCGATTACATAGGAGGAGGAACCATTCCCTCGTGATGTTATTCGGTCATCACCTCTAGCTCTGTTCACTGGTGGTGCCTCCGCCTGGGGTCTATTTTTAACCCGATTCTCTTCAATAATGTCATTATAGATATCGTCGTCATCCTCAAACAAATACCCGGCACCGCTGATGCAAGTTTCTGGTAGTGATTTTTGGTGGTGGTCAGTACAACTGCTAGTCTTCTGACTTGGAAGCATTTCTGTCTCTTTCGAATAGGCCATGTTCTCCATTCCTTGAGTATGTGAGTCAACATCACGGCTAGGTCGTAGGGCTGAGTCACGATTCATGTAGATGTCACTCGGCATTGATATCTCCGTTGTTGCTGCTCTCGCCAAGGTTCGGTTCGAGCCCGACTGGTTGTCGCCTGCAGAAGCACCTGAAGGGAAAATGGACAGGCAAGCAGCAACATGCAGTTACCCTTTAGGTGAGGGTTGTTCAGCATGGAAAAGACAGCTGCCATTCTTCAAGTGAAGAAACTAGTTGGACATCATTATGTTAGGACATCATTAGGATTATACCTTACCAATAACTTCTGCCAAACATGCAGTACAAAATCACAGATCGGCTTCACACACTGCACTGTACTGTGTTCTGCATGCACAGCATTCAAAGTGACGTCACGAATACTCAAATGTGACTTCAAGAATAGTTGAAAGTGACAAACCGAATGAATGTTCGAATATTTCGAATATTCGTTTCACCACTACCACTAAGGATATATGACAGATGGTGTGCAACATGCTATAACACACATCCTTTGCAAAAAAAACAGGATGATGAAAAAACATGAAAGTGAACTGAATTGAGAGAAAAATTGAGACTTGTGCGCGAAAACCAGGCACCAGGAGTCAGTGCGCTGGAAAGGCAGTTTGTTGGAGTAAAAGTGGCCAGCACGGAAAGGGTTAATACTACGACAAAGGACATGCTTCAAGGTCTGGAACAATATCTTGAACACCTTCGCGAGTAAACTTTCAAGTCTATGCAAACAGAAGAAAATTAGAGTCATGCTTAGGCCATCCTTTTTATATCTATTGCTATCGCACAACAGTATCCATATAGATATCAAGACAGTCTCCAATACATGGCTTTTCGCCTTAGACTGGCGTTATTATCGAATGAACCACTGCGGCTTTGAGAGTACATACACACGATCTGTGGCAGAAGTGTGAACAGATGGAGAGCGAGTCTCAGCTGGTGATGAGTACTTACCAGGTTCGATTGGTTTCGCTACCTTCTGACGTCTAAGTACAATGAAAGTCCCAGCCACCGCTAGTCCTCCAACTCCCAGCAAGGCTGCGATCATGGAAACTTCCAAAGAATTGCTTCCACTTTCGCCAAATTCTGGCATCCCTGGATGTAGCAAGGAGATACACAGAGGCAGTATGTTTAGGTTCTGGGAAAGTGCTCAATACCTGATTCAGGCAGAGCGGCGTACACAAAGTGCTCAATACCTGATTCAGGCAGAGCGGCGTACACAAAGACACACAATGCAAACCTTGGGCAACTTCCGTTGTGACTCAGAGTTTCATGGCCTTTGTGGAAGGAGATACATGTTTATCAACAAGGAGATACATGTACCGTAAAGTCTGCAGCAAATGCCCACCCCACCTTTGCAAGATCTGCTGTCCTGTACTCACTGACCCCATGCACTGTCACACTTACTGTACAAAAGCGCATCTCAGGGAGGGCTTTGCTATGGAAACTATGTCCATTTTCCGGTTTTCAAAATCTTTCTGGGCACTAGTTACGAGCTGGCTCCTAGTGATTTTTAAGATGTTCGTTGTTTTATTTCGCAAATCCAAACGGGAGTTACTTCCGAATAACAAGGTAGCGAAGACCAGGGTATTGGAGGAACCAAATACTTCTGACCGTGTTTCATGCCATCATTTCCAAATCACGCTACACGCAATGGCAAGGGTTTTTCTCAACCACTTCAGAGTTTGCAACAACTTTGGAGCGACTTTGTAGGTGTAGCTTCTGTGACATCCCCCCCCCCCCCCCCCCGTCCGACTTGCAACTGCAGTACGCCGACCTGTCAAGTCGTTGAATGATGCTTCGTCATAACAATCAAAGTTTGTTCTACGAGCGTGACGTCGTGGCACTGCAGAACTTTCATGATATGAAAACCAGATGGATTCCACGGCATTACCACACCGAGAACGAACTGATAACAAAGACAACCCATTCTTCGTATGAAAGGAAATCTCGACAGAAGTTTTTTCTTTGCAGCAAGATAATAACAATCGCTTTTGCAGAGCCTCTTGGTAAGATATAATTATGCAGTTTGTAGGCATTGCAGTCGTTCTCGTACGCATTCGACCTTCATGCTAGTTTCCTACAACTATATTGACCTGAAAAAGACGAAAATAATATGGACCCGCTGGGGTGCGCGTTTGCTGCGAAGTGGGCGTTTGCAGCGGACTTAACGGGATATCAACAAGGAGATACATGAAAGTCCACAAAGAGATACATGTATAGCAACACGACTTATTTCAAATCGTGGTACCTCAAGACCGTGTGACTTGCACGAGTTTCGCCCTATTTCTGAGGATTAGGTACTTCGCCCCCTTCAGAAACTCGACGGTACGAAAGCGCCTGTGCCAGATGGTCTCCTCCCGAGCATCCTGAAGGCCGTTGCACCAGTTATCGCCTTCTCTCTCACCCTAATATGTAATACCTCTTTGTGCACTGCTGTGTTCCCGACACAATTCAAGTTGGCTAATGTCACGCCGATATTGAAATCCCGTATGGGCGATCCTATTTCTCCTTCGAACTATCGTCCTGTGTCACTCACGTCGATTCTGGCTAAGACTCTGGAGCGCCTGGTTCTTAATCAGGTATGTGACAGTTTGACCATCGAAAATCACCTCCTCGATCACCAATTTGGGTTCCGACCAGCTCGTTTCACGACACAACTGCTCACACCTGCTGTAAATGATTGGAAACTGGCCCGCGGAGAGACTACCAGTGAAGCCTTTGTCGACCTCAGCAAGGCGTTTGATCGCGTCCAACATCGACAGTTACTCGTTGCGCTCCATGGCATGGGTGTTCATGCAAGTGCCCTGGGTTGGTTTGCGTCGTACCTCGCCGGGAGATCTCAGCGTGTCCTCACGCAAGCCAGCCAGTCTTCAAGTCTTGCAGTGTCTCGAGGAGTTCCTCAGGGAAGTATTGAAATTAGTGATGTTCGCAGATGACAAGACAGTCTACTCTAGTGATCCGTCGAAGGTGCTTTCCGAAGCCAAGTTGTCATCGGCACTGGAGATACTAAACAACCACCTTGGCTCCCTTGGCATGCAGATAAATACCGACAAAACCGTTGTCATGCAAATCCATCCCAAACGTGTCACAGGGAGTCAGCAACAACAACAAAAGCAACAACTGCAAATCACCTTGTCAAATGTCATGCTAGGGGAAGTGGAAGGCACCAGATGCCTAGGAGTCGTTGTTGACAATAAACTGTCCTTTGACCAACACATTAACAATGTCGTCCGGAAAGCCTCACGGAAGATCGGTGTACTGCGCCGATCTTTCCGCCTGATGAACCTGTTTGCCCGCCGTACTTTCGTCGTCGGTGTTATTCAGCCTGATCTAGAATATGCTCTTCCTGTATACCTTTCGTTTATATCCGTTAAAAAATAGAAACAAGCTAGTCTCACTCCACCGGCGCGCTGTACGAGTTGCTTGTGGCGCATCACCCCAAGCTAATATCATGCCACTTCTTCACCACCTCAATGTTTCCTCTTTCCAATACCGATCAGTATTTTTTGTACCTTCTATTCATTTTCCACTGTTACTGTATTAAGCCGTCTGTTTTCTTGCAGGCCCTCTTTCCCATCTGTACGTCTACCCGAACTACTCACGGCTCAACAACTCATAACATGAGTATCAATCGCTATAGATCTATGTCTGGCTTTCTGTCCTTTTCAAGTAAATCGGCTCTTGTTTGGAATTATTTACCAGACGACCTGAAGTCCTGCACTACTATCGCAGAATTCCGCGTCAAATTGGCTATTTGGCTAAAAAAAAGACAGCTTAACTCTTATTAAACTTAATCATTGTTGTGATTTGCTTTCAAGCAATGTGCATAATCAGTAGATTGATGTTCCTGGTTTTGTTTCGTTTTTTTGGTTTCCCGTTCTCGGGGCCTTCTATTCGGTACTCTTTGTAGTTGTACTTCTGTACTGTTGAGCTATCCGAATTCAAATAAACACTAACAAAAATCTTCAATGGCAAGATGGCCGGCGACACGTTAGGGGTTTAGTAGTGTGAGATTGATCTCACGCTGAGTGTTTGGGATGCTGGCGTACTGTGTGAAGGAACTATGTGTCCGAAAGGATTTGGTTGCGTTTTCACTCTCAGCGTTGTCGTGTATAGGCAGCCTGAGGTGGCCAGCTGCCTTTGATGGTACGGTACGGAATATGTAAGAGATAGCGCCAGGCATGCCGACGTCGTCAGGCACAAACAAAAATACAGTAGTGCATAACCGTGGTGAATGGAGTGAGCGAATGCAATGTGCTAAACTACGGAGCGGGAGAAGAGATTGTTTTTTTTTAATTATTTAATTTATGGTGTTGAAGGTAAGGGTGAATAACTGATAAGAGTAAGTCGTAAGTATGATCTCGGCGCTTTTTGCTGGTTTCTCTCTAGCTGGTCACAGCTAGTATAGGAAAAAAGCAGTTACAGTGTTGCTTGCATCAAATAGCAGCGCGAGGCCGCTAAGGACCGATATGACAAAAGTTGATTCACTTGAGTGATTTCACTAAACTACAATCAAAGTTTTTGGTCCAGTGCATGTCATGTGGATAAATTATACCAAATCAACAATATCTGTGTTACGATTTCTAGTAGAGTTTTCACCGGAGGATGTACCCAGTGTGCTGACAGTGTGCTCAACAATGTGGGGACAGAGCGTAATACAGAACAACAAGGACAATCAAAGCAGGTTTGCTGCTCAGAGAGTGTCCGAGGTTGACGCGCCTTGGAGTGTCCGTTGTTAGGGTAGGACCGCTAAGGTAAGTGTTTGAATTATGTGCATGCATGCTGAAGATTGTGTTGGTACTTCTCTCTGCTCAAGTAACTGTATCTGGCTGGACTTGTCACCTTGTCTGTGTTGTGTACGCATCACTTTGTCTGCAATGGTGCCGTGACAGTCGATTGCTTTGATTTCATGCTGGCTGGCTCTTTATATAGTTCCGGTGTACCAGCGCTGCAGCTAGCGTAGGCTGTGTGTGCAGCCCTATATGCACTTGCTTTTCACTTTTGTAAGCTCCTTCACTGCGTGTGAAAGGATGAGATTTGTTTTGTAGTTCGTGGAGTGAGTTAGCCTTTTCTCCTATGCAAGTAGCTTGCCGTGTTCTCGCTCCATTTCCTTTGCTATAACGTATTTGTAATGTATTTCAGTTTGCTGATAACAAGATGAGTTTACAGTCTTCTCTCGAGTGGTAATTATTAACAGTAAGAGTACTCTACCACGGAAAGTGGGAGCTAATTCAACATAGTAGAGTTTTCATAAAGAGTACAGGAGTATTACGCATCAAGTACAACCCTTTAAATTGTGATCATCTTTGAGTGTATTATTATTATTATTATTATTATTCTCATATCCGTCCCGAATGGGACTCACGACGGCAGAATTAACTGTGAGCCTGTGTGTGTGAGAGTGGGAGAACGAAATGAAAAAGAAAAGAAGAGTCTTGTAATAAAGGTCAAATTTAAGAAGAGCAGTACTAGACTAAAGGGCTGAGCAGATGTTATTCCATTGTTTTCTGTCGCGGGCATAGGTGCCGAGATCACGAAGGCAGCTTTGAGTGTAAGTCTGTTGGAAAGTGCATTTTCTAAAGTTTTTCTCAGGCCAATGTGGACAATGAACTTCGTAGCTTGTGTTTTGAACTGTAGAAAATGGATAGCGCGTATTGATGAGCCAGGTGACTGTCTCCGGAAATATTAGTTATTCACGCAGACGGGCATGACCTGCATAGGGCACGGTTGGGCCGTGGGGGGGGGGGGAGGGGGCATAATGACATGCACCTGCCATCCTACACAAAGCGGCCGTGCACCCCCTAAAAGGGAGACCAGCTGCGCCCTGGATCCTACATTCTACACATAAGTAGTGCATTGCTTCACCGTCCGTTTGATGTGTGACGATGCTCTGGCTATTTGGCTTCAATAAAAATAAAAAATAAAGATGAAACAACTGTCGGGAGCGAGATGGATAAAAGATTAAAACCTGAACTCTCCGCATGCCTTTCCACTATTGCAGGTTTAGGCGCACAGCCTCTGTGCCTTTTCATTGTAACTTTTCCGCATCATTTCGTTCTAGAGAACTGGGACTTGTGCATGTCCTTTGTTCTGCGATCACCGGTTCATGTCAGG